TATATATATATAGACACACATATGAATCTTATTTTCAATACTGCAAAAAATAAAATCTTTGCTATAGATCAAATTGATCCTGCATTTGCCTATCGCGTTGCTATTAAAACATTCACTATCTAAGGGCTAAATAATGATGTAAATAATGTTGAATCATTTGTTATTGCTTAAATAAATAAATTTCAAAATTAGGAATAATATAAGGAAACAAATATTAATATGAAAATATTATATGGATAATATGGGCAAAAAATATTATATTAAAATAACATTAAAGATTTTGAATAAAACTCACATACTATGCATACGTTTTTAGATATGTACAAAGATGTGAATAAGCTTGAAAGCTCAAAAGCGCTCAAATCAGTCAATATTCGCCCTTAAAATTCAAATGCAAATTAAGTCAAAAATACATGTCACACCACAAGCAATAATTAATAACCGGTTAAAATAAACAGGAGCAAGCTGTTTTCAAGTATTTTGTCAGTGCATTTTATAATTAATAGGAAAAGAAATCTTAATGTTCCAAATGAAGTTAGCAAGCATTACCAGAGAAGCAGCAAGCATGCCATTGGCAAGGGATAGTTCATAGCAAAAACAGTTTACCATCTTCCAGAGATTGGTCTTTTGGTAATGGGTCGACATTGGCCGTCGGTAGTGAGTTTGGGATAGAGATGGCATTGGGTTCAGCAGAGCCCAAGCTCAACTCACTTGACTGTTTATTCATTGGTCCACGAGGATCTCTAGCAGAAGTTGGCATTCCCATTACAGGTCCCATAGTGCCCATTGTCATGCCATAGGGTGCTCCATATTGTCCACCCATTGGGCCCATCATTGGATGAGCATAACTAGGTTGTGGCTGGTATGATTGCTGGCTCATAGACGGTTGCACCGTCATCTATAAATAACAGAATCATTTAGCAATCATTATTATACGTAATACTAACTTTCTTAGTTGATTATTAAAATATATTAATTATAACTACCTGTACAATGGCTGGATCATTTGGAAGAGAGCTGACATTATTAACAACTCTAATATCTTTAATATCTGAACCACGGAATAAAATGTATTCATATACTTGATTTTGTGGTGCCACTGGAAGTTGAGTTTCTCTATCTTCAGTTCCAAAAGAACGTACTATAAGATGAAAAAAATATAATGGATAGACTGAGATATTTACTTATCATATTTTTAATATTAATTAATTAAAAAATATCATAATTTCATGATTCATACAAATGCAGATTTTAAAATTATATATAAAATAAAGTTTATGCATTATTTGATATAATTATATAAATAAAAATTAAGATTCAGCAATATAAAGTAAATCAGAATCCGTATCATACGATTTAAATTTAACGATTTATTAGAACAACTCTATGACAGAAAAAAGAAAGGACATAAGATATAAACAGAGCAAATACTGAACACAAACATTCCATACAATGATAGATATAGGTAACGGCTTTCAAACAACCTAATTTTACATAAACACAATATCACTTACATTATCATTGAAAGTATAAAATTTTAATGAAATATGCTTCAAATTCAATATGTTTTAAATTCTATCTGTTTTACTTCCATTTAAAACTATATGAAAAAAATCTAATATAGTATTAAGCACAAAAATGTTACAAAATTAAATATTTGCTTATTATGTAAGACCTTTTCACAAAATTTCATCAATTATTAATCAGAAATACAAAATAAAATGTACAATTCATTTGGATAATATTACTATACCTACATTTGTTTCCTCTATTTTTTTATATTTAAGTACAATTTGCTATAAATTGAAAAGTACTGCATAATAATTTAATATATTTATTACGACTATAAATATAATTAAATTATCGAACAAATTTCAAAGCATATATTTAAATTACGAATAAAGTACAAAACACCCGTTATAAATGACGAGTGACCCCGGTTGTTTTGTATCAAAGCTTTACCGGATGAATCAAATACCGACTGTTTCAGAAACATTTTCAAATACAATAAATGTACAGAAGTTACCAAATTTTCGTAAATAATACTTAAACAAGACGTAAGAAGGAAAAATGAAAGGGCAATTAAGTATTAAGAACGACGCATATTAAAACAAAATAACCGGGAAATGAAACAGCGGCAAAACTGATTTCGGTATCCATCTTGATTTGAGACTCACCATTAGCTAGAGCAATGGTACATTCTTGGGGATCAACAGTAAAAAGTCGGCCCTCATAGCGAATATCTGCTTTCGATATTAAACTAATCTTCGAGCCCAATTCTGGCATTCCTCCGCTCATCTTGAATCTCCTTCTTCTGCACGATGATCGATGTGATATTATAGGATTCACGATACCATCTGACGAAACCACCAGCTGACACCAATGGTCGACAGCAAACTGCCAAGTCTACCAACAGAAATTGCGCATGCGTCACACTCCCCCCCCCTATTTAGAAATGGTTTGCAAATTTCAAATAAAACCAAGTTGGAAAATAAATAAAATATTAAAAACAATGATGTACGACTAAAAAGGAATATTTCATAACACAATATTTTTTAAGAGCAGTATTTTACGCTTAAACAATTTGAAGTGTGTTTTGTATAACTCGAGTGTATAAATTAAACATTGTTATCTCGAAATCTGAGAAAATATTTTTGTTATAATTATTTATGTTTGTACAAATAAAAATGTACAGAATAGAAAAAGATATTTGTGAATAAATTGAATCGTTCAAAAACTGACATTATTATATTGGTATCCTTGATTAAAGTCACTTTAGATGTTAAAAGTTGTGTAAGTACCTTCATCTTTTGAATTTATGTTTTCTTTTTTCTTGTAAAGATTTGTGAATGCATGTAAGAATTATTTATATCAACAGAAAAATTTAATTAATATAAATTTATTGTTTACTAGCACATATATATTTATTGTATAGATATTTAATTGATTAAGAATCTGCACATTGTACCTCTGGCCAACATGGCGGCTTCATTGGGTCGAGTTTGTAAATTCGGTCTTTTGAAATCGAATTATGGAACATTATTCAATCAGGTATGTAATTTAAAAGCATCAGTTATATTTAGATACACTAATTTGTCTATTCGAGAAATATGATTTTTTATTTGCACGTCAATCTTGTAATATTAATGTATTGAAACTAATACGGATGCTTGGCGAACTGTACAACTTGTCGGCTGCTATGACATTTTTCTTCGAAAATATTTTAATTTTGCATTGTCTGTTAATTTTCCAATTCTAATCAAGCGTATTTTATAACAGGATAATAAATTCAACAAGATTTTGAAGACATTTTATTTGATGTTATGTAATAGTTATCAGCATAGAAAATTGTGATGCTGCTATGGCCAAACATATCTGAAAATTATGTGGGTAGCCTTAAAAAATCAAATTTATAACTTAAAATGCTTGTAATGTTAGATTGTTTAAAAAATTATATTTCTTTCATAACAAATTTAAAATGATAATAGGAAATTAATGTGAAATATTTATCAATGTCTATTGCTATTAAATATGTTATAAATTTGATTCTGACCAAGTTTAAAATAAGAACTATTATATTATAGGTTGAAAACTTTATTTGATACTTGAATTTTAATTTAGCAGGTACATAATTTTTCAACTACAAACCAATGGTCTAAAGGTAGAAAAGTGGTATGTGTATTTTTATAATCAATTGAAGATGCCTTCCCATTCTTATTCCTAATATAGAATCAATAAAATCTAAATTTATTAAATGTGTGAATATTATACATGTGTATATATATATATATACACATACATATATATACATTTGTAGTAAGTTATAATCATATAAATATCACAATACACATCTTATATACATATATATTATGTAAAAAGTTCTTAAAACACTAATACAAATAAAATAATTACAGTTATTAGCATGTTTAGGAGTAACAGCTGGAGGTATTAGTGCATTAATTTATGCTTTGGATCAATCTGTGAAAGCTTTTGATCAATTAGCACATCCACCAAACTACAAATGGGATTTCTATGGAATGTTTAGTTCATTAGATCATAGAAGGTGAGATTTACATTATGAAAGTAATAAATAAATCCTAAATGTATATTCATCATTATTTTTTATGTAGTGTTCGACGAGGTTGGGAAGTATACAAAAATGTATGTTCAGCTTGTCATAGTTTGGACTTTTTAGCTTTTCGTCATCTTGTGGGTGTTACACATACTGAAGAAGAAGTAAAAGCTATTGCAGAAGAATATCAGGTAAATACTTTTGGAGTCTAGGTAATTGAAATAGTATTAAATATATAAAAATATAAATATGAAGTAAAAGTTAATAAAACAGTTGTATAACATTAATAAATATGACGTGGGAAATATTTACTAGGTTCAAGATGGTCCTGATGATACAGGAGCTTATTACATGCGTCCTGGTAAATTATCCGATACTATACCAGCTCCATATCCAAATGAAGAAGCTGCTAGAGCAGCAAATAATGGTGCCTATCCACCAGATTTAACATATATTGTTAATGCAAATCATAATGGAGAGGTAAATTGATTAAATAAAATTTTCTTAATTCTTATTTAATTATAATTTTATTTGAACTAAATATTATTAATATTCTAAAAATGAGTAAACATATATTATACTTTATATTCCAGAATTATGTATTTTCATTATTAACTGGATACTGTGATCCACCAGCTGGCATTATTTTAAGAGAAGGTCAATATTTCAATCCTTACTTTGTTAATGGAGCGCTTGGTATGCCACAAGTAAGTTAACACATATAATTATTTATGATACATAAAATTGGTTGATAAATTAATTATATAATATTTTAGATTATCTATAATGAAGTCCTAGAATATACAGATGGCACACCTGCAACTGCTTCTCAAGTAGCAAAAGATGTTGTTGAATTTCTTATGTGGGCAGCAAATGCTGAATTTGATGACAGAAAGAGAATGACTATCAAGGTAATAATTTGTAATAATATACATTTCCTGAAATATATACAGTCATGAATCCAAAAATTATATAATTATTACTCTTCTGCAGGTAATAGGTTTCGGTCTGATAACGATACCGCTAGTCGTATATTGGAAGAGACTAAAATGGACAACTATAAAAAATACTAAATTACTTTTCACTCCGAGATATAAACGACAGTAATATCTTATACATATAAAGCTACTTAGCTCAATAAAAATGATCCGACGATGTTAGGTTCCAATATTGGAATGTAGTTTTATACTTTATTTGAATGTTGCAAGAACATAATTGCACATATTTGATAGACGTTTATTTAATACGTCGATCATCTTGTACATATAACTACAATTAATGTCATCGTCAGATTTAAATAAATTGTTAAACTTATTCAATTACATATTCATTGCCTAAACAAAAAAAAAAAAAAAAGACCCTAGATATGAACATCACAAGGAACTGAAAAGAATGATTTGAAAATAATTTCTAAAGAAATTTGTTTATTTTTTTTTAAGCTTTACTTTATCGACATGGAGTAATTATTTAATATTTTTATTAGTATGAAATGGATTACACTATCACATTATTTATAGTGTAATACTGAAATGCAAAGCTGATGAAGAGGTATGTATAATGTTTCAGGTAGTTGAGAATTTCATAATATTACACGATAAATGTAAACTTGTGTTAAAATCTCGTACTTTGGTTTGGATTTACTTTAAGAGTAAGGATCGACATCTTTACAATTTGGATAATAAAATTTCAAAAAATTATATTATGTTTGAAATAATTTATGATTATATTTCTCTCTCTCTCTCTCTCTCTCGCTCGCTCGCTCGCTCGTTCGCTCGCTCTCTTTTTCTAAAATGTAACATAATTATGGAAAACTCTTTTTCCGTTCTGTATACAACTTTATGGGAACGGTATAGTTCGTAGCAATTCATGATAGAATTACACTAGCATTCAAACTTGATTTCCTAATGATTGAAAATCTACTTATGGTACTTTGGATATTTATTAAAAATTAAGTATGATTTTATTAATACATCAATTATGAAGCTTTGATCGAAGAGTAAACAATATATGGGTACTATATCTGCACTATAATGACCAAAAAGAACTTAAAATATATCTCTAATATATAAGTAGTGGAATGGAGAGTTAAGCATTTTTAATCTAATGCTTCATACATTGATGTATCCACAATGATGCAAAACACTATACCATTAACCATGTTATTACAAATCAAATTATTACTTTATACGTTTCAATTGTAACATAATTTGTTTATCATTTAAGAAATACCTTTTACTTTTTAATATAGAATAAGAGGCCGTTCTTGGATGATGTCTCAACCAAACACGCTCAATATATGCTCACTTTTATGCTACTTGCACAAAAAGGCACATTATTACATATCAAATGTTGATCTCAACAACCTGCTATTTGTAAAAATCTTAATAACAACAGAGAAAAAGTAAAGTAAGGCTTGGTAAAAATGAGCACACAGAAATATAAATTATTAAAATTTAGAATTGTCTACAATAGTAATTACTGAGACACCTCCACAAATCATGAAATGGCACTTATGCTCAAACTGAAATGTCATTCAGGCAATTTTGTTTCATTTAAAAAACTTTGAAGGCATAAGTTATTCTTAATGATTATTACTTTTATTACAGTCTGTATTTCCAGTTTAAGAATCAAAATATGACTTTTGTTTCAGATTAACTTAAAAAGCTGAAACAGCATTTTCTTAAATTAAATATGTGTGCATGGTTTTAAAATAAAATTAAAATAAGTTTATATATATACATATATTTATATATACATACATAACATGTATACATATTTATATATGTATTTATATATGTATGAAATGTTTTAAATTTAAGAAATAAGTAATAACAAATGAGTTACAAATTTTGTAAGTAAATACTTTAGTAAATTGAAAACACTGAATCAACTTTTATAGTCATTATCTCCTTTGTTTTCTTTTTATACAGGTGTTATTTCTTAATATATGTCTTTACTCGGTACCCATTTAATATTATTTGGTACCTTCATTGAATATCGCCCCATGCTACCGCAGAAAGGAAGAGGTGTTTACACATGGTTAGGCTAAAAAGTGCTACCCTCTGGAGGCTGGGACAATTTCATATTTTCTTTTAATGTCATTAAACGGCGAAGTTCTTGAAGAACTGTTTTAATTGTATATTCTCGTTGCCACTTTGCAAGTACTGGTACACTGCGATTATCAACCTATAAAATTTTAAATGAAATGTAATGTATATTCCTAAATCATGAGAAAATTAAAGATACTTACTGCACCAGTAGTACTGTTGATGCAATTCATGTTGATCCTGCTTAAAAATCTTACATTGGGAGCATCATCTGGATATCTTTGACCACAATCAATTTTTAAACTATACATCCTATTTTCATATGGTGTCTAAAAAACGGTATGTAATATATAAATAACATATTCAATTAGTAATATTAAAATATTTTCCTGTTACTAATAACAACAATTATCAGTTTTATCAATGTTATCTCCGTGTTAGTGTAATTAACTCTGTTTTGTATTTATGTAATATAAAGAACCATGATGATAAAAAAAATATTTTGTAAATAACTAAAATAATATAAACTGAAATTAATATATCCAAGTAAAACTAAAAATTTAGAAAAAATTACTCTAGGTGGTCCAATTATCATTCCAGTCCAATGCGTAAGAGTCATGTCATCATCATTTTCCAAGCCCCAACTGATTGTACCATCACCTACACCTTTTTGACCTTGTTCTAATTCCTCTAACAAACGAAAGTTTCGAGGCACAACTACAAATATAAAACCAAAGTTATTCTTTGCAAGACTACAAATAAAATGTTGTTAATTAAAACCAGTAAAATAAGTACAGGTTATGACCCTGTGATTTTAGACATGGTGTAACCTGCTTCTTGTATTCATATTTCCGTAATCTTCTCTCGAATATACAGAATTTTATATATGTGAAAAAAAAACAAAATAGTAATGATATTTACGAAACCTTGACAAATCATTGATTAGTTTTATACACGTTTACTGTGCGTGATAACTTATTATTAACATTATACGTCTGCTCTTATACATCATCAAAATTTGACGGATATAATTTTCACAAACATGTTTTATGTATACCATCTTTTAACTCTAACTCTTTAATTTTGAAAAGGTACAAGACCTACTTGTTGTTCGCATCTTTAGTCTGTAAAACAGACATAAAATACTTACCTACACCGGTAGTAGGTACCGCCATGATATCTTATTTTTATGAGGGGCTGTATATTTTTCTAAAGAATAGCAAGTAACACCAAATAATGTACTCGAAACGAAGCCACTTTAGAATATACGATTCAACTAGAATGCGAATCTTTCATCACCCAAAGCTAAAGTGAAGAAAATAATACCTAATATTCAAGTAAAATTCACTTTGCGAAAATTCAGCCAACCTCCGTGAGGTTGTCTGTTTCCACAGACTACTCACTTTCTAGAGACGGAATTGCTACATTGGAAATTCCGCATCTTGTAATTGCTAACAGTGTTTACAAATTCTAGGCAAATTTTCTTGCCTTTCAAACTCGAAAATATTTGTACACTTACTTACGAAATGTACGATCGTACACTTGCAAAGTTACAAAATTTAATACTCCTTTTTCACACGAATCTTACATTTTCTAATGTAAATTATTTTATATAAAAGATATAACGAAGGAGGGGTATAGAGAGAGTTAAAATGTATTAACAATTACATAACTATTAGCATTTTTCTATTGCAAAGAGAAATGTGCATGAAATTTTTAATAAATCAATATTTATTATCAAGTTTCGTAAATCGATGCTCGCACCCAAGTTTTAATGTACATGTAACTTTCGTATGTTCGTGAATATGTATTTTACACGTAAACTCCGGGTTCCGTATTTTTTCGATACGGTTATGAACAATACGAATATATATATATATATACATATATAGGGAAGAAAAGTTGGTACAAATGGCGTCGATTCGTAGAGGGGAGGAAGTCGGTAGTATTGCGCCGGCTGCGCAAGAGCAGCCTGCAAGGCAGATTTTCTAATAATGAACAACCCGTGGTAACTGTCAGTCTGCTCGTGGTGCATTCGTTGACTCTTGGTTGCGCACAGTGTGTTCCGGCGTGTGTTAAAATGTGTTGTACGTTTTATTGAATATTCCATTGTACGCGGATTACTCGAAGAACGACGAAATTCCTGCTGTAACACAGGTACACGGACAAAAAGAATTTGAATTTTTCGAGTTAAGAATCTACCCTGGGAGTCGTGTGTGTGTGTGCTGTTTGACATTACGTACACTTAGCGGAGTACTCACCATAATAAACAAACGAACGCCATTGACCTTTGGCTCTGCACATTGTTACTAATTTTCGAATATATATGTATACATTAGCAAACATTCTTTCTTAACAGATCATACTTTCGTCGTCTTTTATGATACGTAGTTTACTCTTTAGTCCAAATAATCATATCGCTGTTAGAAAATATTCTTCCAAGAACTGTAAACAAAAGGGATCAAAACAAGCATCGTGTTTCATTTTTACAGTTAGCAGCACTCAAATGGCATTCTTTTACAATTAGACTAGCTAAACATTACGTGATAATCTGTTTTAATTAAACATTGTTATTGTGTGTGCCGACTACAATCATGTACGTGGATATGAAATATAATATATTTGAAGGGGATTGGAAAGGTTGACCAAATCTCGTTTCATCGGTGCGTAAAGCAAACAGTGCACACGCCATCCATTTTAATGTAAAATACAGAAAGAACACAAGCGAACGTTTTCAACATTATAATGGATTTATAACATCTCACATACAAACGAGCAGTTACAACACGCTCGGTCGGTTGCCGTAGATGTTAACGAGTAATCGAACGAAACGATAATCGCTGTCGTTGCAGCCACGGTCAAGTTTCGATAGTTTCGCGTCCCGCGAACCTATTATCAACTGCGGTCAGTTTTCACCGATTGAATCCAGGCCTACTTTCCGCTCGTGATCGTTCAACATTGTCAATGAACGATCTCGCAGCGAACCGTGAAAAAGAGAGCAGAATCAACGTCGAGGATAGTATAAAGTAAGAGAGCAAATAAATGCATATCTTTCTCGATTTACGCATGAGGGACGATCGTTCCTTCGATTCAGGTGCTCGGCGCCGTTATAGGCGCGATTGACACAAATCACCGGGCGAATAGTCGAAATGAATTCGTTCGTAATTACCGACTGAAAAATTTTACGGATTTTCTACGGTGTTATCGTTTAGAGGTTTGAACGATCAAAAAAATACTAGAAATACTAGAATAGCCAAATCACCGGGTGAGAATAGTCGAAATGAATTCGTTCGTAATTATCGACTGAGAAATTTTACGGATTTTCAACGGTGTTATCGTTTAGAAGTTTGAACGATCAAAAAAATATTAGAAATACTAGAATAGCCAAATAACCACACGCGAATCTATCGTAATGATTATTTCGAGAACTTTTCGAGAAAATTGTTGGATCAAGTTTGGGAACGAGATTCGATTCGATTCGATTCGATTCGATTCGAAGCCACGGAAAAGGGGAATCGTAGTGGAGACAGAGCGCATGCCGTCGCGTTGAACTTTCGTTAATTGTAAATCTGTCGTTGCGTTGGGTCGCCGGCACGCGCGCGCGGCATTGCGTTCGCGAGCTTTCACCAGAGAGACCCGCACGCGCCCACTTCGCAACGTGGATTGACCGTTATCGTTCACGTTCGATAACATTGTGCCAAGAAATGGCACAATGCTGACAAACGAACTGTCGGTCGTAATCGCCAGAACTTTACTTGCAACACTGTTTGAAAGATATCTCTCACATTGTTGATCGATGGTTG